TGGAGGAGAAGGAATTGTGGCATGGCCATCCCCCTGGGGGTGATTTCTTGCTTTCTGTCTCTCTCTTTTTGGTGAGTGCATGAGCCGTATAGCAAAAACCTCTCAAAAAATTTCAGTTCAGGGGCTAGTGGGTGGCATAGTGATTAAGGTGCTGGACTTCAACATGGCTGTTTACGGTTCAACTCTCGGACCTGGTGACTTGAAATTCACACTAGGCATGTGTGTGTGCTTGCCCAAAATCCCAGGAAGAAAATAGAGGAGAAGGGATTGCGGACTGGCCACTTTGCCAGAGGATGACTTCTCACTTTCTGTCTCTCTGTTTTTCTCTCTCTCCAGCAAGCATACATGTCCTATTGTAAAAATTTCTCTCTAAAAACGTCCCACTCGGTTCATTATAGATATGTGAGTTTATTTCTAGACTCTCAATTTTATTCCACTGATGTACATGTTTATCAATGCCAGACCACATTGTTTTGATTATTGTAGCTTGTCATATATTTAGAAATTGAGATATGTGAGTCCAACAACTTTGTTCTTATTTAGTTGTTCTGGCTACTCAGGGTTTCTTACACTTCCATATGAATTTTACTATCAGTTTTTTTTTTATTTCTGAAAAAAAGAAAAGCCTGTCATAATTTCTATAGAAATTGTATTGAATATGTGAATTGATATGGAAAATAATATAATCTCTTTTTTTTTTCCAGAGAGGTTTTCGCTACTGGGAGCGTGTGCTCACCAGAAAGACAGAGAGAGACAGAGAGACAGAAAGCAAGAAATCACCCCCCAGGGTGGATGGCCAAGCCACAGTCCCTTTTCCTCCATTCTTCTCTTGGGATCCTGGGCATGTGCATACACGTGCCCGGCATGAGTTTAAGTCACTGGGTCTAGGACTTGAACCACGGTCGACTAAATGGGAGTCCAACGACATAGCCATTACGCTAACTGCTGGTCCCAGGAAATAATATAATCTTAACAATATTAATTCCCCTAATTTATTAACCCAGGCTCGCTTTTCCTTTATTTGGGTCTTCTTTTTTTCAGGTTTTTTCATAGGGCCCATGTGCTCACTGGAGTGAGACAGAAAAACAGAGAGGGAAAGTGAGAAATCACCCCCCACCAGAGCTACACTGCAATCCCTTCTCCTCCATCCTTCCTGGGAGATTTTGGAAACACGTGTACACATGCCCAGTGAGATTTTCAAGCCACGGTGTCTAGGACTCAAACAGCAGTCAGCCATGTGGGAATCCAGCACCTTAAACAGCATGCCACCTGCTGGTCACTTAAGTCTTAAGTCTTCTTTAATTATCTCTCAACAGTATTTCATAGTTTCAGTGTGTAAGTCAGGGATATCCTTGGATAAATTTATTCCTAAGCATTTTATATATTTGTTTGTTAGATTGTTTATTTTAAAGTGTTCTTTTAAAGTTTATCCATTTCTTCTAAAAATGAGAGAAACAGAGCGAGCAAGAGGCAGCACCCCAAACAGGCTCTTGGTTCTGCAATCCATTCCCAGCCTTCAGCCAGCCACAGATCACAGACAATCATGTACCCAGAATACTCGGAGAGGTCTCTGGACTTGCACTGTGAACTCCCCAACGTGGAATTGCCAAACAAAGCCTTATGTTTTACCACTGCACAACCATCTGATCTCTATTCCTCAGTATTTTAATCTTTGTGATATTACTGTAAATTGAATTATTTTCTTCATTTCCTTTTAGATTGTTCATTGCTAGTGAATAGACATGCTTTCTTTTTTCTTTTTTTCCTCTTTTGGATTTTTGCCATAAGGTGCATGTGTTTACCAGAGAAAGACAGTGAGAGGGAAAATGAGAACTCCCCTCCACCCCCCAGGAGAGAGGGTGATTTTACAATCCCTTCTCCTCCTTTCCCCTCCTGAGATTTTGGGCACACATGCACACATGACCAATATGATTTTCAAGCTGCCAGGTCTGGAACTCAAACCACGGTAGGCCATATTAGAGTCCAGTGCCTAAACTACCACGCCACTTGCTGGCCTCCATATAACTTTTTTGTGTGTGTATTGTTTTTATCCTGCAACATTGCTAAACTCATTTATTAGCTCTAATAATATTTTGTGGAATCTTAGGGTTTTAAAATGTAAGATTATGTCATCTTCAAATAAAGTAGTGTACTTCTTGCTTTTCTACTTTTCAATCTGCACATCATTTCTTTTTTTCTTTTTCTTTTCTTTCTGTTCTTTCTCTTTCCTTTTTCTTTCTCTTTCTCTCTTTTTTTTCCTAATTGCAGTGGCTAGAACTATTAGAAAATATAAAAGTGGTGAGAGTGGGTGTCTTTGTCTTGCTTTTGGGGAAATATTATCAGTTTTTCATTATTATTTCTTTTTGGAGAGGTTTCTTTTTTTGTTTTTTGTTTTTGTTTTTGTTTTTGTTTTTGTTTTTTTTGCTATAGGGCGCGTGCGCTCACCAGACAGACAGAGAGAGACATAGAGACAGAAAGCGAGAAATCTCCCCCCAGAGGGAATGGTCACGCCACAATCCCTTCTCCTCCATTCTCCTCTCCGCCGCAATCCCTTCTCCTCCATTCTCCTCTCGGGATCTTGGGCATGCACGCACACGCGCCCGGCGTGAGTTTTAAACCACCAGGTCTGCGACGCGAACCACGGGCGACTACATGGGAGTCCAGCGACATAGCCATTACGCTAACTGCTGGTTCCCCATCAGTTTTCAGCATAGTATTAGATTTAGATTTTAAATAAATGTCCTTTATTAGGTGGTGGAAGATCCTTTTTCCCTTTTAGTCCTAAATTATTGATTGTTTTTAATATCAAAGAAGGTCAAATTGTGCATACATTGGTACTTCTATTCATGTACTGTAGGACTTTTAGGCTTTCTACATTCTTCATTCTTTTTTCAATTGACCTATTTTAAAGTTTGCCATTTCTCTTTCTTACCTACTCAAAACTATTGAACTACTCTAGTGAATTTTTCATTTAAATTACTATAATTTTCAACTCCAGACTTTCACTTTGGTTCCTTTTTCTAATTTCTGTCTTTCTATTGATATTCTCTAATTGTTAAGACATTATTTTCATTGTTTCCTTTTATTCCTATTAGATCTTTTCCTTTAGCTCTTTGAACATATTCAAAGTACTTATCTTAAAGGCCTTGATTAGCAAGTCCACCATCTGGGTTCCATCAGGAAAATTCCTATTAATTCCTTTTGCCCACAGCATATTGTCTATACTATGTTATTTCCTTGCATTCCATGTAATTTTGTTGTATTTGTTGAAATCTGAGTGTTTTTAATATTAATATGGCAATTCAGGAAATCATATCCCCCTTCTATCCTCTTGGCTTATCTCTACTGCATATTATAATTCTTATTTTCTTAGTTACTTTTTAAAAATATTCATGTAAAGTCTGTTCTCTTTTCAGGTGTGGACAATCAAGTCTTTACTCCATTAGCTTAGTAGTCAGCTAGGAAATGAACATAGATATCTTTTTATGCCTGGGGGGAAGGTCTTTGCAAATGGTGCTTAGTGTAAATATTGAAGCATGTCTTCAATATTCAGTGTGGTTGTTTACAACTCTGCTGTAGCTTTCACTTCATGTTTGCACAGAGCTGACTGCTTAGCCAGAACTGAGGCTTAGGTCCTGAGATATTTTCTGAAGATGTACCCAACGCTGAGTGTGTGAACTTATAGATTCCTAGGAATATGTCAGAGCTTTTGAAATTCCTTATTCCCCAAAGCATTTAATTCTCCAGACTTTGCTCACAAGGTTTTTGGTTATCCTTTCTTTAGGCA